GAGAGAGAAATCGGATGTCCTGTTTCTGTTGATAGATAGCGGAGTTGGGAGGGTTTGTAACCTTTCTTCCAGTTTTTATAGATATGCCCATGTGTTCACATGCTCATACTTTAAGGTGATGTTTAATTTAACCAATATAGGAGGCCTTACAGTCTCTGCACAGGAATAAGTAGACGAGATGTGAACAATGGGCAGTCAACAAATGATCTTTGTGGCGGAAAAAATGTTTTAGTCTAAAGTTGGGTTTCATAATAACTTTCAGGTCAATTTGGGGATAGTAAGTGTTATATAACTTTTTCAACTGTTTCGTGATAAGGGAGCTCTGTCTCTCAAGATATGGTAAGCAGGTGTATGAGAGAAGTTTGGGTACACTTTAACATTATAAATGAAAATTGTCTATCACATTCAAAACTAAATTAATTTTTATTCCACCTTATGTGTCTAGAAACACATTAACAGTTGTTCAAACATATTAAACAACTGTAATAAGGATTCATTTAAGTATTAGTTAGAATTTTCACCATGTTTTTATAAAACAACATAGATTGTTATATCATTCATATGCTTTTATTATATTTGATAACAAAATTTATAAAGCTGTTATTATAAAGCAAAAAAATATTGTTTTTCTTAAAATATGTATTTTCTTTTATTTATTTTCTGAAATAATTCAAAGACATACATAGAAAGTTTTAGCTGGTATACAGTATATGCAAAAAAGCATTATTCCACTGGACCAGGGTTTGAAATTAATTTTGTTAAGTAGAACTTAGTATGTCAGTTAAAACTAGGTAGCAAAATTACCTATCCAGGTAGCAAACTTCTCAATTGTAAGGCAGCAAAAATAAGATATAAATCCTAGTAATGCTTTATCAGCTTTTTTTTTTATAATAAATAATGTAATATAGTGCAAGTTCTTTGGAAATGGTAATTTTCATCAATAAGTAGGTGAACCTCCAAAAACTTAATGAAAAAATTCTGTTCCACACATTATAGTTTCAGGTGGAGATAGGGGAGATTGATTCTGATTGACTAATTTGCTAACATTCTTCAGAAAAGTTGAAACTTTCTCAACTTTCCCATAACTATGCAAGGAGACAAGTGTTCAAATTACATGATGACATCAACATCCTTTTTGTCAGCCTTATTTATCTTCTGAATTAACAGTGTGGATTAGCAATATTACGGCAGAAACTAGGCCAAAACACGCATCATTCCAATTTTGTATTTATTGGAAGTCGAATGTGTGGATAAGTGGTCAGCTTTTCTAGCTTAAAAAATTTATGTATTTATAAAATATTTTACCAGATTCTTTCATAGCAAGTATTTGGTATTGATTTAACAGTACAAGTAGCAAATTGTAATTTTAGGTGGTAGATTTGCTACTTCCTATTGCTAATTTTTAATCCTGCATTTGATAAAGTCATATCAATGATTTTGGCTGCTTCCATAAATTATTGGTCTGGTGGTTAAGGTGCCCAACTCACAATCTGAGGGTCACAGGGTCGAATCCCTGTCACCAAACATGCTGCTCGCCATTTCGGACGTAGAGGCATTATAATGTGATGGTCAATCCCAGAATTCGTTTGTAAAAGGAGTAGTTCAAGAGTTGGCGGTGGGTGGTGATGACTAG